GGCTGAGTTCTTTATCTCTTCATTTGATGTTCTAGGGTTTCAGGATTGTTGATTCTCTGTTTGGCTTAGTTTTTTGGATCTTTGTTGTGGAGGGACGGCGTGACGCTTCTGCCTAGACCGCCATCTTGCCGGAGTCCCCCGCAAGATTATTTTAATGCTAGAATTTTACTGGGGGTGGGGGTGGTTTGGAGTGCCTTGGTAATTATAGAGGTCAGGTTGCTTTCTACCCACTACCCGTTGCCATTGAGCCAATTGGGACTCATAGCAACCCTGTAGAACAGAGTAAAACTGCCCCCATAGGGTTTCCTAGGCTGTAATCTTTTCGGAAACAGACTGCCATATCTTTTTCACACAGAGCAACTGGTTGGTTCAAACTGCCAACCTTTCGGTTAGCAGTTGAGTACTTGACCACTGCGCCACCAGAGCTCCTTCCAGGTCGCTTTAAAGTTGTATTATCTCTTTCCATGGCACTTCTCCCTCACATGCTACCTTGTATGGGTTGTTCGTGAATCCGAAGTATCACTGCCACTTTTGATTCATTCCTGAAGTCTAGGGATGTGAAGACTATGCAAGAATTTTGGTGGCAGACTTCGTCTTTTCCTAAAGGAACATTCAAGGTCTAGGCAAGTTAGACATTGATTTTCTAAGGAGCCCTGGTGGCGCAGTGGTTAAGAAGCTCAGCTGCCAACCAAAAGGTCAGTGGTTCGAGCCCACCAGCAGCTGTGCAGGAGAAAGTTATGGCAGTTTGCTTTCATTAAGATTAAAAAAATAAAGAAACCCATTGCAATCGAGTCAATTCCAACTCATAGCGACTCAATAGGACAGAGTAGAACTGCCCCATGGGGTTTCCAAGGAGCAGCTGGTAGATTCAGCAGCCAGGCTCTTAACCACTTCACCACCAGGCCTTGGAAACCCTATGGGACAGTTCTACTCTGTCATATAAGGTTGCTATGAGTCTGAGAGGAACCCTGGTGACATAGTGGTTAAGCAGCTCAGCTGCTAACTGAAAGGTCAGCAGGTTTCCCACGAGCCTCTCCTAGGGAGAAAGGTGTGGCAGTCTGCTTCTGTAAAGATTTACAGCCTTGGAAACCTATAGGGCAGTTCTACTCTGTCCTCTAGGATCTCTATGAGTCGGAAGTGACTCGACAGAAGTGGGTTTGTTTTTTCGGTTTTTGGAAACCTCAATACTTGTCCTTTTGCTGCCTGCCCATTTGCTTTCTTTGGTTTCTGTTCTTGCTTCTTTCCCTACAAACCGAAACTAGAATTATATAGTAGTGTTGGGGCGGAAATTCTTTTCTAAAACAAGCTCAGGAAGTCACTTAATTAGCCCAGGAAGGGAATAGGGGAAAATTCATTCTCTCCAAACAATGTCAGAAAATTGAAGTTTTCCTAATACATTAAGAATAAATGTCATGGCTCCACCCCAGAGTGATTTGTATATTCCCAGTTCACAAGCATGAACAGCCCCCCACTCTGAGTTCCACAATTCCTTCTCTCTTCCTTCCCGCTATTGACCACTTTGCAGAATCAGCTGGATTTTGTGTAATCTTTACAATATCGAAGTGGTTTCCATGGACATGGTTTGTGATGTCACAGAAACGGGTATATATTCTTTGGATTTTGAAAAATCAAAGGGGCAAAAACTTCGAAAGTTGCAATAGAGGGAGGAAAGGGACGGCACTCAAAGAATAGGAAAGAAAAAAACTAAGAAAGGGTGTACACGGAACAGAGAGAGAGCTTGTCAAAGGCTATAAAATGCAGAAAACAGGGAATTTACAAGGAAATTAGAAGCAGAGGGTAAGGATTTGAAGGAAAGTAAAATGCATGATTAGGAGCTAGATAGCTTTAAAAACTTGTTCTTAGCAGTCCTCCATGGACACTCCACTTGGTACATAGTCAGTACTCAGTAAGTATTTCCTGGGTGAATAGATGGTTATTTGGATGGATGGAGGGATGAATACATGGAACAGTACAACTGTTGAACATCTAAACCTAAAAAGTAGAAATCTGTCACTTCTTTATAGTTTAAACCAGGAACTTCAGAAGGTCTATGAAACCCCTAACATGAGTGTCTGTTTCCTTTTTCTTGTGGAGAAAGTTCAGAATTGCCTTCATTAGAAAGCTTGTCTCATAAAAGGTTAAGAACCTGTGGTTTAAAGTCCTAGAATAATATAACTGAATGAGTAACTCTTTCTCCAAACTTCCTTCACACACACACACACACGCACACACACACACACCACATCCACCTCTTGCCCTATCTGTAACGTATTCTTGCTCTCTCTCCCCTTCCTGTACAGTTCATCCATCTCAGGAGCCTGGATGGTTGGAGGGGACTCTGAACGGAAAGACTGGCCTCATCCCCGAGAACTACGTGGAGTTCCTCTAACCGTGGGCCCCAGCAGAACTGCTGAGCTTTACATGGTATCCATGACAACTGCTGATTCCAGTGTTGTAGACCATTTCTCTTTGCCACTGAGAAATGCAGGGCGACAGACTGTGTTGATACCTGTCAACATGAACATTTCTGTGAACTCCGGTGTAACCCATCCCCATGATCATCTCAGCTGACACACGGCGATACTGCAAGAAGCAGAAGTAAATTGGCAGAGGAGGCCGTTTGACTTTGATAACCTAGAGAAAGGCTTGCAAAGGCATTTTCTCATGAGCACCCTAAATAGGGAGCACTCATTCTGTTTCAACAGTCATCCAAACTCCAACCTTCTGAAAGACAAAGTAAGATGAAAGTAGTCCCCAAGACCACACAGCGTAGCTAAGCCCAACAGGGGTGGGCGAAGAAATTAGCACTGAGATGTAGGCTGGGTCTATGCTTTTGTTTACAGTAGATACTCTCTCTACTCCACCTCTAAGTACTTGAGACCTGTTCTGCTGCAGGCAGCTGGGTGTGTTTGTTTGCGTGCAGGATGGAAAGGGGTTACGGCACTGTTTACATAAGATCCAATCTCTCACCATCTCTGAAGCAGCCCTTGGCCCGTCATCAGCAGAATGCAGTCCAGCCCTCTCATGCAAAGGAACACAAACACCCCAGGATCCCCCTCCCAAGCAAAGAACTTGCCACTGAGGAGGGCTGCCATCACCTAGTAACCATGGCAACTCAACCTACTCTAAAACCAAACCAAAAAATAGCACACTCTCTACATGGCACTTTTTTTTTTCCTCCCCCTTTTTGGTAGTCTTTAAAATGGTTTTCCAACTACCTGAAGCAAAAGATCAAGGAATGGGAGTGGTGTACTTGAGGCAGCCAGAATCGCAGCTGGGAACTGTCTCTCCCCTTTCTGATGAAGTTCAGCAGCATCAGGATGGATATATTGGGAGCACGCTCTAGTAACTTCTTGAGATTAAATCACATACTGGCTTGATATATGTGTTCTTCCATGCAACTGGCATTTGCTTTCTAGAGGGCAAGATGCTGCTTCCCAATGGGTGATGCCCTCCCTTTGTGTGCTTCCCTTGTGACCTCCCATTAACCCCTCCCTGGCCTGCCCTTACCTGCCTCTAGCCTATCACTCACCAGTTCCCTTGCAGTGCACTGGTGGTTTTCAGGGATGGTTCCTGGGGTGACCTTGTGGACTATAGTTTAAATGACATAGTTGTTCACTGCCACTCAGAAAAAGGGAGTTGTTTCTCAGGCCATGCAAGCACAAGACTAATATCATATGCCATTGTGATTCAGGAAGACACCAAAAGGTTGGAGGATGGAAGGTGGAATGGGGACCTTCTGAGAAAAGGAATTTCTTGGTCTAGAAGGGGTTACGTGTTGTGGACATTTGTGGAAGACTGTCTTAGTTGGGAAAGTAAGGCCTGGGCATTCCAGATTCGCTCAGCCTCCAGAGAACAGAGTCACCAGTATCTTCTACATTTGAATCTTCTTGCAAGAGTGACTCTGGACAGAACAACTAAAAACTAATGGACTAGAAAGCTCCCAGGACCCCCTTGGGATGACGGCGTTGTTCCAGAGAGTGTTTCCTTCCTTCTGGAATTTCTATCTAGGGAACTTAACTTTAAAGAAGAAAAGAAAAACTTGAATTGTGTTGAATTACTGTACCTTTTACTTTTTTTTTTTTTTTGAACAGATAAACTTGTAAATAGAGTGATTTAAAATACTGTATGGTAAAGTTTTATATTTTATATTCTTTAAGCTAGTTGCTCTATACATTTAAGCTCTGATTGCTGCACAAGTGTGCATAGGAGGGAGAGAGGAGGCAAAATCAAAGACAGTCAAGGTCCTCCCCACTCTGGCCTTGAGGAGGGAGAAGATATTCCTGTGTGCTCTACATTGGCTCTTGTTGGTGGGCACGACAGATTGTCCAGTCTTCTTTATCCAAATTTTTTTCTGAGCATTTCTTGGGCTTTGAATTTGGAGTGAAATGGAAAGAACATCTTGAGGCAATGGATTTTTCAAAGAACTCCCTCTTAGTAGTAAGGTAAAGCTCAGGATTTGAATAGATGGGGCCAGGGATTAGATTTTCTTCTCAGGTGTACTTCTTGGTACCCCAAGATATCAGGATATCAGGACAGAGGAGATGGGACAATTACTGTGCTCCTTATATCTTTTCTCCACATCATTTAAGGCTTTATAAATGAGGCCAAGCCAGTTTGCAAATTTAGTGTGCATCTTAAGTCCTGAGAAAAATCGACTTCTTAGGATCTTTGGTTCTCGATGTGTTGCTGCTTTCCCTAAACATTTTTATGCCCTTTGCTTTCATCTCCAGATTCCCTAATAACCTAAAATAAGAGAAAGACTCCAAAGAGGGATGAAGATTGTGACATTATAGCTTTATAGATGGTTTTGAAGTTAATAGGAGTTCATCATTGTCATTCACTATTCAGTTTATCAGCTCAAGGATTATATAGCTGTTACTCAGAAACTCACCCAGAAGCAAGGTAGACACTACCACCGGATCAGAGAACAAAAATTAAGAAGGGAAAAGGACATGATAGGACTCATGAAAACCCAAGAAGAAAGGGAATATACTAGACTTGTTCCATGGACTTTGAATAGCTTGGAAATGGGGCCTAAGGGGCAAGCCCACTCATATACTATTGTGCTTTTAATACAAAGAGCCCAAGGTAATGCTTTCAAGACATTTGACATTTTAAATTGTTACCTGCCCACCAAAATCTTAACTGGAGCTACTGTGGAGAATCAGAAGGGCTAGGCCCTAGCGTTGGGATTTCCTCCCCAAAGTGTATCTGTAAACACTTGGCCCCAGCTTGACCACTTGGAACCGTGTCCCTCACTCCTCAGTTGGCCCTGGTTGGAAGCCAGAGGGAAATGGAGCTGCTGGCAGAAGGGTTTTTTAGGTAGACCTCTTCCCAGCGTCACTGTGGCCATGCTGGGCTATGGCAGATGGCCGCTCTGTTTCCCTTTCCCCAGCCTGGCTCCCCTCCCCCACCCCCATTACAGAACTAGAGAAACTGTTCTGAAGACGAGCCAACAAGCAGGAAGGGACTTGAAGACCAAAAATAGATTTTACTCTCTCTGCTGTCTATGCCCCAACCCCTAACTCGCTCTGTTTGAATAGAGAACCTCAGGGCAGACTAGAGGAGTGAACTGAGCGTCATGGTGGAAGCCCATTTCCCAGGAGTCTCCAGTTTCCTTCATAAGGCCCTGGACATAGCCTGAATCTTCGTAGGATATTAAGATCAGTCTTTCGCTTTTCCCTCAGGTACTCACAGAATTCCATAGCTAAAGAATGCCATGCCATGAGAAGAGAACTAGTTTCAAATCCCTGCCACCAGGCAAGTGAATTCCTGACTTGAAACTCAAGACTGATGTTCTCTCCTGTTTTTAAAATACATACATACACACACACACACGTTATACAGAGAGAGAGATGGACCTGTATAATGCAGCCTTCCTTGTTATCCTAGAATTGGAGCTAGTTTTTAGCTAAATGTTTTAGTATTTCTGCAGCCAATATGTATTTTATGTCAGACCAAACTATTTCAACATAATTTCAGTTCACCATCTCTTGCTAAGTCCTTTTCGGACAAAGAGGAAGAGAGAGAATAAGCAAACAAGTCTTGGCTGACTGGCATTAGCTAGAAAGAACTGCCCGTGCTAGTGGCAAGGTCATTTCAGGCATCTGCCCAGGACTCCAGAGATGGATGTGCGATACCAGTTAGGTCAAAGGGAAGTCCTTCTACCAACTAAGTTTGTGTCCCCTGAAAACTGCAAGCCTCGATACACTAAGAGCTCTGTCTTGACTACAGAGGCCCCTGAAAGCATACACGATTGAGGGGCAGAGAGACAGAAAGAAGCTAGACAAGCTGATCATCATCTGTTCATGACTGTCTGTTGGCATTTTTCATCCTCTGGCTTCTGCTCCAAAAGTTAGTTGCATCACTTAGTTTTACAGACACAGGACTTCCAGGTACAACAGTGGCCTCACGGCCCCCACTGTTTGCCCTAGTATTGAATGTCTTAGGAACAACCATGTTACCCAAGGTGGTGGCCAGCACTGAAGAGACCAAACAGCCTCTCAGTTACCTGACTTTAAAAGGAATGCCCTAGGTGATCTATATAGCGAGTTATCTCTCATCTCTGGCAAACTTGACAATAATCAATTACCTTGACAACCCTGCCCCACATCCCTTTAAAGTCAGCCAGTGTCCTCTCACACACCCTGTGCTGGTGCTTAAAAAATGTGTTTTTTTGTGCTCAGATGTGTTTGGCAGCCACACTGATCTGCTGGGTGCTGAACCCCTTCTCTGTAATTGTAGCATCAAAATGACAACAACAGCAGAGCAGTGAACCTTGCCCAATCCTACAGCAAGCCTAAGACAAGACTCCAACAAGTAATAATTGGCTTTTTTCCTTCTGCCACGTACAGTGGTTGTCTAACTAAAGAGCCTCCCAAAGCAGCGAGAGAGACCCAGTAGAGAATCCAGATGTCATTCAGAGGCAGTCCTGGATGAAATGTGGTCTTCTCATGGAAGCACCTGTATTATTGGCGAGAACAAGCATTAGATATGAAGGAATGTTAGGGCCAGAGAGAAAGGTGAACCATACTGAAGAACTTTGAGGGTTTTTTTTTTTTTTTTTTAGTGAGACAGGCAGAGTTCTTAATGGGGGGGAAAACTATCAGAAAAAATTCACAACTAATATTTTTCCAAAAGTTTTGCAGGACAATACAAGATGAATACATCTTTCAGTGGAGAATATTTTAGAGAGCAAAGGCTTGGCACAGTCCTCCACCCATGTAAGGGGAGCAATTGCTATTATGTCAACATTCAGTGAGAACCAGAGTATTGGTATCATCAAAATGTCTGATTCCTGGGAGCAGGCCTGCAGAGGCTAAGGCATTCCACTCACTATGTCTACAGAGTCGTCCAAATAGACACCTACAAGCAGCTTTCTGGGGTATCCAGATGTCAGGGTCAACTTTGTACCTGTGAAAAGAGGTTCTTCTGGTGGTTCTAAAGCACCTGTGTATCAGTATGTGTTTTTGTATGTGTATGTACAGTGCATATTTACATATATAAAGATACACACTATCGTCTAGAAACCCACGTAAGTTGAGCCTTTACAGCCTTTCTGATTTGGAAGTTGAGAATTCAGGAAACGAGAGGCTGTTGATTGACTATCAGAATGATCAAAGATGTAAAGTAAGTGCCATTTTAAAACTTTGTTCATATTTATCAAATGGTTACTCTCTGCAGCTACATTCTATATATTAACTTATTAAAAGTCATGTTGAAAAAGAAGATCAAACTCATAAACGCTTAGTAGCTATTGCTAGGCTAGTGTTCAAAAGCACTCTAAAAAGATATTTTGTCCATATTTTGGAGAAGAAAATATTTGCATGTTTAATTCATATTTAGGCTACCTTTGAGTATACTGTAAAGTGCTGTGTCATATAATATCAATAAAGTACTTATAAAATGGCACCTTAATTTTTTTTTTAAAAAACCATAAATGCACTGTTTTAAACTTCAGTATTGAGTATTGACTGGTGCGTAGAATCCAATTCCATAATTGAAAAGTAATCTGACTAGAATAGAAATTTTTCTCTGTTGTTAGTAAAACAGTTTTGCCACCTTCAGGCTTTCAAAAAAAAATGTGTTTTTGCATCACTAAGCGTATCTGTAAAGAAAATACAATTTCTGTTGAGTGGCCTCTAAGGCTTGGCTTTCTTACATTTGGTTGGTTTATGTGACAATCCCTATGAAATGAGTGGAAGTATGATTTTGAATTAAATGACGTTTCCATTTGGTGGTATGTTTGTTTCTTGAGTCTCTGATAAAGTGCTGACTTGGTGCATATTTTAATAGTTCTTCAAATGACTATTATCAAAGGTCACCAGTCTGAGCTCTTGCAGTTGTTGGTGACAACCACGGTGCTGATTTCTGAGGGACTCTGTGGAGCATCGATTTCCATTAGGATGAGGTCAGTACTAACAAACTGGGAGTTGAGCTATCAGGCATATTAAACAACTAAGCACAAAAGAGTTTCATATGTTTCTGATTTTATCTCCTGGAATACATATTGTTTCATTCTTCCGAAATTTGATTTTCAAACAAGTCCTTTTTCTGGAATTTCACGAAGATAGTCTAGAATACTCAAAGGGCCAGAGTATAGAGAGTCCCACAACACAGCTTTGTAAATCAGTTGTTGAGGACTGGTGGCATGTTTTCTCAACCAGTTATCATCACATAGATTCTGACTCCGTGGTGAATCCATGTGTGTCAGAGTGGGACTGTGGCTTTTTGGAAGTAGATAGCCAGGCCTTTCTTTCAAGGTACTTCTGGGTAGACTCAAACCTCCAGCCTTTTGGTTAGCAGCCAAGTGCATTAACGGTTAGCACCAGACCAACCTATGTCATTGAATCTTCTTCTCATTCATCATCTCCCTTCCAGGTACATTCTGAGTTGCAGCCTGGGACCAGGTTTCCATCAGCCCCCAGCCTCAGTAGTGAGAGCAGAGGATCAGCTCACCTGCTCAGAAGGAGATCAGACAGGAGGAAGCCGGGGCTCAGGGGATTGAGGGTAAGGGTTGTGGCTCTAGAAGCTTGCCCTTGGGGAGGGGAGGTGATGGGTGGAGGTTTGAGGCTCCCATGGTGCCTGGTTCTGAGACAGTGGTTGTTTAACTGTATGGTTCACACAGGAGCAGCTGCCATGCTGTTCTTTTTTGTCACCTACCAAGGCATTGGTTTACCCCTGTGAACAGCACAGACTCGCAGTACCTGCTGCCCTGACAGCGTTGACACCCTCCTGCAGAAAACTCTCCCGGGGCTGAAGTCTCAGACATGTTGTGGGGGTGGGGGTCATACCTATCATGTAGTGAAATACACGATGTGTACTGTATCTTATCTATGTTCCTGGCCCTTCCAACAGACTCTCCAATCATTTAAGCTTTCGTGGCTTTTTTTTTTTTAATTGTGGTGAAAATATAATAAAGCCTATGCCAACTCAATAGTTTCTACATGTAAAATTCAGTGACATTGATTATATTCTTCAAGTTGTGCGACCATTCTCGCTATCCTTTTCCAAATCGTTCCACCACCATTAACATAAACTCACTGCCCCCTAAGCAAAAACTTCCCCCTTTCCCTTCCCTCCCACCCCTAGTATCCACTAGTAATCCTTGGTTTCTATATATTCCTATATGCTTACTTCATATAAGTGAAATCATACAGTATTTGACCTTTTGCGACTGATTTGTTTTGCTCAATATGTTTTCAAGGTTCGTCCAGGTTGTGGTATGCATCAGGACTTCATTTCTCTTTATGGCTAGGTAGTATTCTATTGTGTGTTTATACCACATTTTGTTTATTCATCTCTTGATGGACATTTTGGTTGTTCCCACCATGTGGCTATTGTAAAAAGTGCTGTAATAACATTAGTGTATACGTTTCTGTTTGCATTGTGCCTTCACTTCTTCTGGATATATGCCTAGGATTGGGATTGCTGG